GAGCTTGTTACGTAGTCTCCACTTTTGTCTGTGGCATGCTAGTGCTTTAAACCATTATTAACATGATATTCAGCAAAGAGAGGACAGAAACTGGCTTTGTTTTCTAGCCTGGCTTCGAAGAGATGTCATTCACAAGGACATCTGTACGCAGTGAGCTGCAGTATAGACAGAAATAATCAAAGCAGAAGAATTAAACAGTGGATCTATAAACTATCAGATGCTGGGAATATTCCAGTCTAACGTAAAATGTGTCAAAGAAAGCTAAATACAAACATTGAGCCCTAATTTCTGGATTGATAGAGATCAAAACAAAAACGATAAAGGCTAGAAGCTAAAAAGGAAACATAAATAGTGAAAATGGGATAAAAATACAGATTATTGTCCTGTGTGGCCAGGCTTAGAGGGGAATGGTCACTTACCATATTTTTTAGCAGTATGTTTACTTATCCCTCTACTTAAAATGTACTTATTTGTGAGGTTTGAAAAATGAAATTAAAAGTAGAAATTCACATCTTTTTATCCTGCAATTGAATGCTGCCATCTTAGAACCCTGACAAATACTGTTATAAGCATCTGGCCGTCAGCACAGAGCAAGGATATACAAAAGAAGAGAAATGAAACAATGTTTAGATTTCTCCTCCTCATTTGCAATCCTCGAATTTAGCACTGGAGGGCACCAGGGCACTCCTTGCACCAGAACCACTTCAGCAGGCTAGTAGTGGTTATGGCCCTTCCAATGTTCCTTTAAGACAAGACTTGTCATAGAAAGGCCATTTGTGGTTCTAAACACAGCGTTCAAATGTCTGGTTTCTTGTCGTTCTGTTTCTTTCTGTCCTTGAAGCAACTGTGTTTTGAAATGATAGTTTTGGCAGTTAATCTCAGAGTGTTATGATACCCTTCTACTTGAAGATGCAGAATAAAGCGTTCCTGTGAGTAAGGTTGGAAAATTAAGAGTGCCCACTGGTCTTCTCTTTTCCTACGTCCTTGTTTAGACAAATCTGTTCTTTTCCTGCTACCCTGACCCCAAACATCCTGTCTCCTCTGCCATTTTAGCACCTCTCCATACGTCACTGAAACTTCAGCAATTTATCTCTGTTACCTAATCACTCAGGCACAGTCACAACTGTCACTGTGTTAAAAAAAAGAAGTGTGTGTGAAAATATTGTATGCCGTGTATGTGTTGTAACTGCGTGTGTGTATATTGTGTTGTAACTGCGTGTGTGTGTATTTATTTATTTATAAAATATTTTACCAGGAAAGATATATGAACATTTGCACTATACATAATATGTTGCTTTCATATAAACACTCAATTATTTGCTCATTTCCACTCTCTTTCCTAACCTCCACACCTAAGCGCTGTTATTTAGCTTTATCTGTGCCCGGGTTTTTATAACGTCTTTTACTGTTCAGTTTGTGATGTGTGTTTGATTTTATTAAATGAGGAGTTGGCACCGTTTGATTTGGAAATCGATTGATCAGCTGTTTTCCTTGAACCTCACATACACGTTACGTTGATTTTTTCTTAGTCCAAAATGACTTCCGCAAGAAGTATATTTACACAAGCGGGGAGTAAATGAATCATTTATGTAACAGCAAGTCATGCAAGCAAATTGCAAAGAGTTTATCCTGACTCCACTTTTATTTAATGTACTACATGGATATTTTCATTTGGAATGATATGGATTTCTGCACAAATTGGTCATAAAATGTCACAACAATAGACAATCACAGTCTGCTTAAACTAATAACACACAAAGAATGAAATGTTGCCATGTTTTTATTGAACACACCATGTAAACATTCACAGTGCAGGTGGAAAAAGTATGTGAAGCCTTGGATTTAATAACTGGTTGAACCTCCTTTGGCAGCAATAACTTCAACCAAACGTTTCCTGTAGTTGCAGATCAGACATGCACAACGGTCAGGAGTAATTCTTGACCATTCCTCTTTACAGAACTGTTTCAGTTCAGCAATATTCTTGGGATGTCTGGTGTGAATCGCTTTCTTGAGGTCATGCCACAGCATCTCAATCGGGTTGAGGTCAGGACTCTGACTGGGCCACTTCAGAAGGCGTATTTTCTTCTGTTTAAGCCATTCTGTTGTTGATTTACTTCTATGCTTTGGGTCATTGTCCTGTTGCAACACCCATCTTCTGTTGAGCTTCAGCTGGTAGACAGATGGCCTTAAGTTCTCCTGCAAAATTTCTTGATAAACTTGGGAATTCATTTTTCCTTCGATGATAGCAATCCGTCCAGGCCCTGATGCAGCAAAGCAGCCCCAAACCATGATGCCCCCACCACCATACTTCACAGTTGGGATGAGGTTTTGATGTTTGTGTGCTGTGCCTTTTTTTCGCCACACATAGTGTTGTGTGTTTCTTCCAAACAACTCAACTTTGGTTTCATCTGTACACAGAATATTTTGCCAGTACTGCTGTGGAACATACAGGTGATCTTGTGCAAACTGTAAAGCGTGCAGCAATGTTTTGTTTGGACAGCAGTGGCTTCCTCTGTGGTATCCTCCCATGAAATCCATTCTTGTTTAGTTTTTTACGTATTGTAGATTCGCTAACAGGGATGTTAGCATTTGCCAGTGACTTTTGTAAGTCTTTAGCTGACACTCTAGGATTCTTCTTCACCTCATTGAGCAGTCTGCGCTGTGCTCTTGCAGTCATCTTTACAGGACAGCCACTCCTAGGGAGAGTAGCAGCAGTGCTGAACTTTCTCCATTTATAGACAATTTGTCTTACCGTGGACTGATGAACAGCAAGGCTTTTGGAGATACTTTTATAACCCTTTCCAGCTTTATGCAAGTCAACAATTCTTAATCGTAGGTCTTCTGAGAGCTCTTTTGTGCGAGGCATCATTCACATCAGGCAATGCTTCTTGTGAAAAGCAAACCCAGAACTGGTGTGTGTTTTTTATAGGGCAGGGCAGCTGTAACCAACACCTCCAATCTTATCTCATTGATTGGACTCCAGTTGGCTGACATCTCACTCCAATTAGCTCTTGGAGATGTCATTAGTCTAGGGGTTCACATACTTTTTCCACCTGCACTGTGAATGTTTACATGGTGTGTTCAATAAAAACATGGCAACATTTCATTCTTTGTGTGTTATTAGTTTAAGCAGACTGTGATTGTCTATTGTTGTGACTTAGATGATGATCAGATCACATTTTATGACCAATTTGTGCAGAAATCCGTATCATTCCAAAGGGTTCACATACTTTTACTGTGCAGTAATTGCTGTACAACTGAATCCAATGCTTTAGAGATTTTGCAGTGTTGTTCCATAACTGTACTTTTCCGTGGCCTCCTATCAATATATACTGATACATTAAAAAAGTGTATCCAAATCACGATCAAATAAAATAATTGCCCATCACTTAGCATCTTTGAATCTTTATGTTTATGTCCATCAAAGGAAATGTCCATGAATTATGGAATACATGTTCTAACATACACACTTATCCTTAGCCTTGTGTACATTACTTTTTTTTTTTCAGGGTTTCCATGAGGGGAGGCAAAGATCGCTGGGGGTCCCCTAGCGTTATCAGGATATCGTCGGCGAATAGCGCCAATTTATATTCCTGTTCTTGAATTGTGATTCCTTTTATGCAAGGATCTGTGCGAATTTTTTGGGCCAATGGTTCGAGCGATAGGATGTATAGGAGGGGGGACAGGGGGCAGCCTTGGCGTGTTCCATTGGTGATCGTGAATTGGTTAGATAGGAAGCCACCGTGTGCTACTTTAGCTGCTGGTGATGCGTAGAGTGCCATGATTCCTTTGATGAATTCAGCTGGGAATCCATATTTGGAGAGCACTTGTTGCATATATGTCCAGTTGAGTCGGTCGAAGGCCTTCTCCGCATCTAGTGCTAGGAGGAGGCCCCCGACCGACCCCCTACCCATTGAGGTTAATATGTTGAGGGTTTTCCGGGTGTTGTCTGATCCCTGTCTCCCCCCCACAAACCCCGATTGATCATTGTGTATCAGTTGTGCAATTATCTGGGCTAGTCTGTTGCTTAATATCTTTGCATATAGCTTGGCGTCACTGTTTAGTAGGGATATTGGCCTAAAGTTTTTGCAGATATTCGGGGGTTTCCCTGGCTTGGGTAATGTGGAAATGTGGGCTAACAGCATTTCCGAGGGTAGCGTTCCCGTGTCATTACTGTGTTGGTATACGTTTAAGAGGTGTGGTGTAATGTGTTGGGAGAATATTTTATAATATCTGTTCGGAAGACCATCTGGTCCTGGTGCTTTGTTGACCGGTAGGTCTGTTATGGCTTTAGCTAATTCTTCGGCGGATATCGGTTGTTTGAGTTTGTGGATGTCGTCTTGTGTAAGTGAAGGTAAAGTAATGCTTGCCAGAAAGGCGTCAATGGTAGTCACGGAGGGTATTTGCACTGTTTCGTCCTCTTTTAGATTATACAGTTTGTGATAATAGTTGGCAAATTCGTTTACAATTTGTTTCGGATCTAGAATTTTTGAACCATTGTTGTTAAGAAGGGAGGCAATCCTGGAGGCGACCGATTTTTGTTTGAGTTGAGCAGCCAGTTTTGCTCCGGCTTTGTTACCATAAGTAAAGTATTTGTGTTTGGATTTTTGTAATAAGTAAGTGGTTTTGGCCAATTCATAGTCTCTTAGTTGTGATCAGGGGCGTTTTAGCCGCGAGGCAAACAAGGCATTTGCCTTGGGCGGCATTTTTCAGGGGGCGGCAAAAAACGCCGCACCCCCAAATGCCCAAGGCAAATGCTTTGTTAGCATCGCGGCTAACTGACCGGCTGGGCTGGCGGGCGGCGCTAGGCAGGCGGCTGGCGAGGGAGCTCTTCCCCTGAGCAGTCCGCTCAGCTCCCTCGCGCGCCGCAGAGTGAGGCTGGGAACCGGAAGATGACGTCATCTTCCGGCTCCCAGCCTCACTTTGAGGCGCGCGAGGGAGCTGAGCAGACCGCTCAGGGGAAGAGCTCCCTCGCCAGCCGCCTGCCTAGCCCAGCCGGCATCCACTGGACCACCAGGGAGGTAATGAACCCCCCTGCCCCCCAGCACTCCCAAAGGTAAGGGGGGGGGGGGCTAAATAAAAATAAATAAAAAAAATGTGTTAATGTGAGTGAGTGTGTGTCTGTTAATGTGTGTGTGTTTTGTTAGTGTGTGTGTGTCTGACTGTGTCTATTAGTGTGTATGTGTGTGTGTCTGACTGTGTGTCAGTGAGTGTGTGTTTGCCTGTGTGTGTGTGTGTGTGTCAGTGAGTGTGTGTGTTTGTTAGTGTGTGTGTGTGTGTCTGCTAGTGAGCGAGTGTGTCTGTTAGTGTGTGTGTCTGACTATGTTTGTCTGTTAGTGTGTCAGTGAGTGTGTGTGTGTCTGACTGTGTGAGTGTGTTTGCCTGTGAGTGTGTGTGTTAGTGAGTGTGTGTCTGTTAGTGAGTGTGTCTGTTAGTGTGTGTGTGTTTCTGTTAGCGAGTGTATGCGTATCTGTCAGTGAATGTGTGTGTGTGTGTATTTAGAAGGCGGGGGGGGGGGTTGGCGCGGGGGGAGGGGGGGCACCTGCGTTTTGTCCTGCCTAGGGCAGCACAAAACCAGGATACACCACTGGTTGTGATTGGGCTTTCAGTAAGGCTGCTTGTGTAGCGGGTGTTTGGGATTGCTTATTTTTATGTGTAAGTGCTGTTATCCTTTCTATTAATTGTATATATTGGGCTTGGCGTGTTTTTTTTGCTTGACTCGCGTGCTTAATGAAGCTGCCCCTGATCACAGCCTTATGGGCTAGCCATAAGTATTCTGGCGTAGTACCTGATCTTGTGTTTTCCGTAAAATAGTTTTGTAGATCTGTGGTAATCTGTGAGATTATTGCTGGTTCGTTAAGCAGAGATTCATTGAGTCTCCAGGTTGATCTGCCGGTGGACGAGAATTGCTCAGTTAGAGTTATGGTGATGGGGGCGTGGTCCGACCAGGAGATAATTCCAATATCAGTGTTTATTAGTCTCGATAGAGATGTGGCCTTAATGAGGAATCTATCGATTCTAGAATAGCTGTTGTGTGCAGCTGTATAGCAGGTATAATCTATGTCTGCCGGGTGTGATATTCTCCATGGGTCTACAAAGTTGTGTGTTGATAGTGTGTGACATATTTGGGATGTTTGTTTGCGGCGTTGTGTTAGTGTTTTGGAGGTTACCCTTTTGGAGGAGGATGAGTCCATATTTGCATCCAGGAGAAAGTTAGTGTCGCCTCCAAGAATTGCCTCCCCAAAGCTGTACCTTGACAAGAGACAAAACATATCATCAAAGAATACAGGTTGACTTTCATTTGGGCTATATACATTCATCAAAGTGTACGGTTGGTTGTTGAGGCGGCATTGTAATATCAGATATCTGCCCTTTTTATCACTGATTTTGCGAATAAGTTCAAAGACAACTGATCTATGAATTAGGATCGAGACTCCTCTTTTTTTTTTATGGTAACAAGTGTGGTAATCTACAGGGAACCATGGGGAGTTAAATCTGGGCGTAGATCCCCATTTAAAATGGGTTTCCTGAAAGAAGGCCACTTGTGCCCCTTGTCTCTTGGCTTCTTGGAGGGCTAGTCTGCGTTTGTTGGGTGTATTGAGACCCTTGACATTAAGAGAGAAGAATTTAAGTGGCATATTGCTTGGTTGTATGATGGTATACAGGTAGACACTCGTGTACTTATTCCAGTAAAGGGATTTTTTATTTATTATATTTTTTTATTTTTATTTTTTTATTTTATTTTTTTGTTCCCTCTTTTTTTTTTGGCGTTAGGGTTTGTTACCGAGACTATGGTACAGGTCCTTAGGTACAGGGATAGGGTTGGGGTTAAACTATGTACACTTGCCCGTTAGCCTCGAGGGCCTGATGCAACAGTGTGCGGACGGGAATTTAATGGCTCACTAGTGGGCCGTCGTTGGGGGTCAGTGGAAGTTTGGTATGAACTAAGTTAGTATTTCCAAAGTGGAATATGTGATTAGATTTGCAGTCTTAACCTTAAATTCTAAACAATATCCAATATAACAATCGAAGAATGAGCAGTATGGACTTTCCGCCAGCCGTGGGCCTATGCGGGGTGGCCACTTGTGCGGTAACAAAATATGTGTTTTTTTTTTTGATTAAATTGCATATTTCAAATCAGTCATGTAATCAGACAACCTCATTAGCACGAGTTGTCAGTAATATAACATTTTAAGTGCAAGAAGTTACGTGTCCCGGAGCGTGGAGGAGCGATGGTCACGATCAGTAGTTTCTGCGGCCTTGAGGGGTATTGGTGATCCATGGAAGTTGTTGCCAGTCTCTTGCCATTTTTCGTGGCGGTGGTGCGTCGGCCTTTTGTGTTCCATTCTGTGGAGCAGGGATGGGGATGTTCCAGTCTTCCAGAATCTGTATTCCGTCTTCAGGCGTGAGGATTGTGCGGTCTGCTCCATTTCGTTTGACGAGTAGTTTAGTAGGGAAGCCCCATTTGTATAGGATATTGGCGTTTCTGAGGGCTGTGGTAATCGGTGTAAAGGAGCGACGTTTGGTCATCGTGGCTGCTGACAGATCGATAAATAGTTTGATATCTGTGTATTCTTCTGGTAGGGATGGATTGAGTCTTGACGTTTGCATTATTTGGTCTTTGACCGTAAAATAGTGGAGTCTGGTTATGACGTCCCTTGGTACAGTGATGGGTAGGTGCCGTGGTTTGGGCAGCCTATGGGTCCTGTCCAGGCGGAGGTCTGCCTCTGGCATGGATGGGACCAGAGCTTTGAACAATTTTTGTACATAATGTGTAAGGTCCTGTGGGTTGATGTTCTCTGGTATACCACGGATCCTTATGTTATTTCGCCTGTCCCTATCTTCATTATCTGCTATTTTTCCTTCCAGATATTTAACTTTGTTTTCCAGGGCTGTGTGTGCATCTGCTAGCTCATTATGAGCAGTTAGTATGCCCTCTGTTTTTTCTTCTAGATGGGCTGTTCTGTCCCCTATTGCCTGTATGTCAGCTTTAATGTCTGCAGCTATGCGCTGGAGGTCTGAAAACAGGGCTGATTTTAATTTATCCAGCATGGTACTCACTGAGGCATTTGTGGTAGGGATGGATGCTTCACTGCTTTGGTAGTGCTGTGAGTCTTCTCCGTCTGCATCGTGTGTTGGTGAGCCATGCGGTCCGACGCCATCTTGGTCTCCTGAGTGCTCCGTCTGTTGCGAGCTCAGGTGTGAGTCGATCGTTTTTTGTTTTAATTTTTTCGACGATTTGGTCGCCATTGCGCTCGGGGAGAGGTTGGTGGTAAGATGGGCTGAATTTGGTGGCAATTTCGCTGCGATACACGCTGTGGGGCCCACTATCTCGGCGGAGCTCTCCTTCTATGCGACTGCTTCCATGCGGTCCGTGGCCACGCCCCTCATTACTTTTTTTTTTTTTTAATTAGAAATGGTACAACCAGTACTCGGGTGGAGGATTTAATTTTTCTCCACCCGGGACTATCCCAAAAAGACACATGGCTGTGTGGGCAGAGCGTACCGGGCAGGGCTTGCCGGGTGGGGGTGGGATTTGCAGAGCAGCGGAGCTAAAATGGAAGCGAGGCAGAGCTAAGTGCACACAGAAGCTGGTGCTGCACAGGAAGGGCAAAGCAGGAAGGATTCCTTGCTTCCCCAACAACTCCAGGAGCTGCAATTGCCTCCTCTTCTCCCTTCCAGCCCATAATGGAGAGAGGTAACTGTCCTTCTGTGTGATTGTCTCCTGTGTGGGTATGTGTGTGTGACTATCTGCCTGTACGTGCGTCTGTAACTGTATATGACTGCCTCTGTGTGTGACTGTAACTGCATGTGACTGTCTGCCTGTTTGTGTGATTGTAACTGTGTGTGTATGACTGTCTGCCTACGTGTGTGTGTGTGTGTGTGTGTGTGTGTGTGTGTGTGTGTGTGACTGTGACTATCTGCCTGTATGTGTGACTGTAACTGTGTATGACTGCCTGTGTGTGATCCTCTACTGCAGTTAGTGTGGCCATACTACATGAAGTGACTGGTGGTAGCAGGATATCTGGGCTGTGTGCTCCCTTCCTGTCGATCACCCCACCAATCCCCTCCCAGACAGCTGCCTGTGGTACCTTATTGGTGTGCAAGCCCTGCACAGAAATGGCATTAGCCAGCTTTAAATGACAGTTTATGGAGCAACTAGAGGTGATACTACACCTCAAAATAGACTCTGGCTGAGCCCGTGTCTACATTCTTATGAGTACAACCATTAAAAGCGCAGAAATGATCGTTATATGCAATATTGCATGTGCTGTTTTTCTGCTTTGAGGATCTTTTTTCAGCCAGATCCCATTTGTGTGTATATATGTTAAGGAGTGTTAAGGGTACCTGACTGGGAGGCTGAACTTTATTGTGAAGTTAAGTTATTATACTTCATTTATTGATTACACTACAGACATTTTCTTTTCTTTTTTTTTTTCTTTCTTTTTTTCACCTTCACTTGCGGTTTAAAGGTGATGTACACTAAACAGGGAATTACACCTTTGGTAGCTGGTCTAAATATAGGTAAAACTCGAAAAATTTGAATATCGTGCAAAAGTTCATTTATTTCAGTAATGCAACGTAAAAGGGGAAACTAATATATGAGATAGTCGCATTACATGCAAAGCAAGATAGTTCAAGCCGTGATTTGTCATAAGTGCGATGATTATGGCTTAAAGCTCATGAAAACCCCAAATCCACAATCTCCGTAAATTATAATATTACATGCAATCAATAAAACAAGGAGTGTACATAAAACAATATCGGACCTTTTGAAAAGTATAAGCATGCATATGGACTCAGTACATATGGGCCCCTTTTGCAGCAATTACTGCCTCAATGCAGTGTGGCATGGAAGCTATCAGCCTGTGGCACTGCTGAGTTGTTATGGAAGATCAATAGCGCCCTTCAACTCTCTTGCATTGTTCGGTCTCATGTCTGTGTACTGTGGGGCATTGCCATCTTTCTTTTGGCAATGCCCCACAGTACACAGTAATCCCATGCTCATTGAACCAGACTTTGGTACTTTTGGCAGTGTGGTCAGGTGCTAAGTACTGCTGGAAAATGAAGTCAGCATCCCCATAAAGCTCATCTGCAGAAGGAAGCATGAAGTGCTCCAAAATCTCCTGGTAGACGGCTGCGTTGACCCTGGACTTAATGAAGCACAGTGGACCAACACCAGCAGATGACATGGCTCCCCAAATCAACACAGACTGTGGAAACATCAAACTGGACTTCAAGCATCTTGCAGTGTGTGCCTCTCCATTCTTCCTCCAGACTCTGGGTCCTTGGTTTCCAAATGAGATGCAAAAGTTGCTTTCATCAGAAAAGAGGACTTTGGACCAATGAGCAACAGACAAGGTCTTTTTTTTTCTTTAGCCCAGGTAAGACGCTTCTGATGTTTGTTGTTGTTCAGGAGCGGCTTGTCAAGAGGAATACGATATCTGAAGCCCATGTCCAGGATCCGTCTGTGTGTGGTGGCTCTTGATGCACTGACTCCAGCCTCAG